TTTATAAATTCAATAGTTATTGTGGTTATCTAAATTTTAAAAGATTTTATTAAAATTTCAATTGGGAACACCTAAATTTTAATAGATTTCATTAAAATATATTAAAATCTCAATTGAGAACGGTTAAATTTAGAAATTTTTTTAAAATCCATTACAATTTTAATCGAGGACACCCTGAATTTGAAAAGAAAAATCATTGTCATATAAAAATACTCACAAATCACAATTATCATCAATTATCTGGATATATGAATGAGAAAAATAGCTTAGAAGAGCTAAGCCGACAGCTTCGCTTAACCCTAATTAATTAAATATTACTGTAAAGCTAACCATGGTTAATCACTGTGGCTGTGGCTTGGTGGCCCCCGGGCGTCAACAAATCAAGCACACTGTATTGCGTCATCCTATTGACTAGGTAGTGGGCGTGGGTTCACTCTCACGTACACTCTCTCTCTGAGAGAGAGAGAGAGAGAGAGAGATTCTACGGACTGTAGGCCGTGTGCGCGAAATCAAGAACTGGGCAGTTTCCTGAGTCAAAAACAACTAATGAGAAAATTGCTGGATTCAAATTCATCCGAACTACTGAATTCGTGTACTAACATCCCCAACTTCTATGAAATACGCTACACACTGTTCATTTTTTTCACAACATTTTTCTGCATCTCTATTTCACAGAGCTCAAAGTGACTGAAATGTAGTGGGAAGCCAAGAAAAGAATACCCACTAAAGAATAGAGAAAAGGAAAGCAAGAAAACAGTCTATTTGTTNAGCTAAGCCGACAGCTTCGCTTAACCCTAATTAATTAAATATTACTGTAAAGCTAACCATGGTTAATCACTGTGGCTGTGGCTTGGTGGCCCCCGGGCGTCAACAAATCAAGCACACTGTATTGCGTCAGCCTATTGACTAGGTAGTGGGCGTGGGTTCACTCTCACGTACACTCTCTCTCTCTCTGTGTGAGAGAGAGAGAGAGAGAGAGAGAGAGAGAGAGAGAGAGCAGAAATTCTACGGACTGTAGGCCGTGTGCGCGAAATCAAGAACTGGGCAGTTTCCTGAGTCAAAAACAACTAATGAGAAAATTGCTGGATTCAAATTCATCCGAACTACTGAATTCGTGTACTAACATCCCCAACTCCTATGAAATACGCTACACACTGTTCATTTTTTTCACAACATTTTTCTGCATCTCTATGTCACAGAGCTCAAAGTGACTGAAATGTAGTGGGAAGCCAAGAAAAGAATACCCACTAAAGAATAGAGAAAAGGAAAGCAAGAAAACAGTCTATTTGTTTTTTTTCTTATTTTTTCAAAATTTTAATTTTTCAGGTACTTTTGATTTGTGGGCCTTGTCTGCATGTGAGGCATTGAATCTTATGATGAAAAATAGTACGTCTGTGCTGAAATAATAGCAAGAAGGAAACAGACAAAAAGAGGGGAAAAAAGAAAAAAATTATAAGCTTTGTGTAATCTTCCTTGTTTGTATGTATTAATGTCTATCACTGATTAAGACTATTGAGGGGCTTGCTTGTCGGTTCTGAGATAATAAGGGATTCTTGGTCTAAAAATTAGAGAATAATTGCGCGAGAAAATCGGGGAAGAAAGTGAAATCCTTTTTCCTTTCTTGGCTTCTTAATTTCTCTGCAGTTAGAAGTTCTTTGAGTACTTATCAGTGTTATTTTACAGTCAAAGATTGAATCTTTCTTAGAATTAGAGCCTTGGATCAATTAATCTCTGATATTTCACCAAGAAATTCATGTTTTTGTTGGAGTTTTAGACCTTGAAACTGGGATTTGCTGGCGGTTCTCCATTAGACAATTTCAGGTGTGTACTCTCTCTATATATCCTGTGTGTGTTTAAGGGATGGTTTTTATGTATAAAGTGGAAAGTTAAAAGTGTTTTATTTTTACATTTAGAGAGATTATTGAGGAAAAAGGAAGTAGAAGAATTCAAAGCTGAAATGGCAGATTATGGCTCTTTACAATCTCCTAAGAAAAATTGTAGACAGGGCAGTTCCTCATTTTTTATTTCTCCTAGGTTGTTCAATGGTTTTGTCTCAAAGGGGATATTTGCTGATTCTGAATCTATGCTTAGTCCAAATTCAATTCTTGATAACAAACCATTTCTTGCTGGGAAAAATCCTTCTGGGTCTAATTTGAACACTCCCAAAACTGCTAAAATTGAAAATAGGGGCCATAATTGGGAGAAATTGGATTCAAGAGGGGTTGGTCTTGGCCTAATTGATGCTCTCAATGATGAGAAATCGGATTCGAATTTATCGAACCACGAAAGCAGAATGGTTCTTTTTGGTTCACAGTTGAAGATTCAAGTCCCTCCCCTGCCTCCCTCTGTTTTTTCCCCAGTTGATTCGCCAAGATCCCCAGGTGATTTTGGCATCAAGACTAGGAATTCTCAAGTAGGTTCGTTTTCATCTGGCTTATCACCATCTCCTGTGAAGAAATCCCCATTTGGTTCTTTGAATTCTGGTGTTTTTAGTAGCCTTTCTGCTAGTGAAATTGAACTTTCGGAGGACTATACATGTGTGATATCTTACGGCCCTAACCCGAGGACTACTCATATTTTCGACGATTGCATTGTTGAGAGCTGCTGTGGAATCGTAAAGTTCTCCGAATCGAGAAAAGAAACTGGATTTTTCTCAAATCGATCAATGAGTTATCCCTTTGAGAATTTCCTCAGCTTTTGCTACAGTTGCAAGATGAATCTTGGACAAGGGGAAGACATTTACATGTACAGGTTAGCTTAGATTGATTCATGTCAATTACTAATTGAGATCTCCTGGTTCTGTATTTTGCTTTAACTTCACGATGCTTTTAATTGTTTATACATATTACTTACTTTATTTACAAATTTGTTTGATCTTTCTTCAGAGGCGAGAAAGCATTTTGCAGCATTGAATGCCGTTACAAGGAGATGATGCTGGAGGAGGGAATGGAACCTTCAGAATCTGACGATGTTTATGATAATCCTTCATAACACCTCTACACCGACTTAGTTAGGCCAATGATTATAGTCAATTTTCAATAATGCCAATCTTTTCACTAGACTTTATACATCGAATCAAGATTGTATAATGTTCAAATATTGAATCTGTGTTGGTGTTTAATTGAGTTTTTGTAGATGAAATTAGCATCCAAGATTTTTGGTTTTTGGAACTGAAAATTGACGAAGATGATCATGATTGTGTTAGATTAAGGCACACTGTCTTTGTTCATATGATAATAATCTCAACTACACTTAACAACGAAAGATTAGCTTAATTGAGTGGATTCTTTTCTTTGACATTGTCGTCTTTAATCATGTCTAGTTTTAGCTTTCATGGTCTTATCTGACTATTGAGTGGTGGGATAATAGCTTATATCATATGAATTAGTATAATCCATGCAATACTACAGTGGCAAATCAATTTTGAGATTGTGAGTATCGGTTAGAGGAACTACTTGATGCTTCATTTATGTCTATGGAGTTAAATAAATCTAAAAGAAATCAGCTGTTCATTCTTTTAGACGAACCATTGAAGAAATAATCTATCATAATATCGTTTGAGCCAATGATCATCTTTAGTCAGATCGTGCAAAATAAATTAAACAATGACTCCAATATGCTCCCTCAAGTATTTCAGTAATGAATGACAGCTGCAGAACTTGAACTGATGACCTTGTCTAATATTGAAAACATATAAAACAAAAAGAATGAACTTATTTACTGTCTTTGATGGTAAAGCTATGAATTAAATGGCTTAAGACTCCCAAGAATCACTGAAAACGAGAGCAGGAACCAATCAAAGATTTATGTGACATCCTGTGTGAAGAAAATAAGTCGATTCTTGGTATTCACTTAAAGTAAAAGAGACTCTGCAATTTTCATTCTTGGGTTGAATGAACGAGTCTTGATCAATTCATTGTAGGAATTGAACAATAATGTTTACCGTCATAAGATCGTTTATGTTCGATCATCAAGAACTAATTAAACAAAAGCGAAA